ATTAGTTTCCATCCATTGCTTCTCGTCCTGCCTTGTTTTGGAATTCTGGACATTTGAAAATTTGGACATTCATACCCACCCCATGTTTTCCATGTCCCTAAGTGGTTAAGAAAAACCACACTCCACGTCACGATTTCATCAACATTCCTTTCTGAATGCCTAAGTTCTCTTCCCTCAATAAGAGAAAGATGGTTGGAAAAACAAAAACCACAGAACTGTCCAGCCGGTGGAAGAAATAATAACGTGCGGCCCTTCTATTTCCCCCCTGTGTTTGGAGGAACAGTTTGTAAAAAATAAAACAAAGGCAGGACAGAGGCGGGAAAGCACAAAATGGACAAATGGACCCACAAGCCCAAGCAAAGCGCATTGATGTGCCAGGGAATATATGACTGTGAGAACCAATCATGGGTTTTATGATGATCCCTTTTGCACTGACAAAATGCAGATTGTACAAATACACAGCACCCTCTAGCGTTGCTGGGCAGACAATGAAACGTGTTCAGTCCTTTGTCCTTCATGCTAATTTCTCCTCATCAACTCAAATTAGATAATCAGATTAACAGAGTTGGAAGGGACCTTGTAGGCCATCCAGTCCAAACCCCACCCCCCACCTACCCAAGCAGGAGACTCTACACCATTTCTGACAAATGGCAATCTAATCTCTAATTACTGTGATGAAGCTCCCACAACTTCTAAAGGCAACTTCTGTTCCGTGGGTTGATTGTTCTCACTGTCAGAAAATGTCTCCTTATTTCTAGATTGAATCACCCCTTGTTTGATTTCAATCCATTATTCCTTGTCTGGCTTTCGGGTGCTTTGGAAAATAGGTTGACTCCCCTCCTCTCTGTGGCAGCCCCTCAAATATTGGAAGACTGCTATCATGTCTCCCCTGGTCCTTCTCTTCACTAGACTAGCCAAGCCCAGTTCCTGCAACCGTTCTTCGCATGTTTTAGTCTCCAGTCCCTTAATCATCTTGGTTGCTCTTCTCTGCACTCTTTCTAGAGTCTCCACATCTTTTTCATGGTGTACTGACCAAAACTGGATACAGTATTATAAATGTGGTCTTACTAAGGCTTTATAGAGTGGTATCAGTACCTTGATTTTGATTGAATCCCTCTGTTAATGCAATTTAGGATTGCATGGGCTTTTTTGGCTGCCACCACACACTGCTGGCTCATATTTAGCTGGTTGTCCACTAAGACTCCAAGATCCCTTTCACAGTCCCTGATGTTAAGCTGGTTTCACCCAGACTATATAGTCCTAATCATTTGTCCTAATCAACACAAAAAACCTGACTGCATTGAATCACAGACCATAGCTAGGCATTGGGTTCACTAGTGTAGCACCCACAAGCACTAATTTGCTCAAATTCTGTCTTGGGCACAGCAGGCTCAGTTCAGAGGTGGGTTCCTACCAGTTCGCACCTATTCGGTAGAACCGGTTCGTCAAATCTACC